TTTCATGAGTAAATTATTAGAATCAAAATCCAAGATATATTGCAAAGATTTTGAATCCATACAAACAAATTCTTAAAAAATAATAACAGGAAACAAATCTAAACTTTAAAGAATTGACTTTAACTTCATGGTTCATGGTTGAATAACACTCCCTTAATTTTAGCATTGGTTTAAGGATTTTTCAAGTAGAGAAAATCACTACGTCAACTAAACTAAACTCCACTAACGTTAAACTAAAATTTTCCAGTATTTTCTTTCCTCAATCGAAATAGTGAATCAGTGACTGACGTGGTGGATAGTAAAAAATTATGGAAGTAAAGTAAGCCTGTGAAAATAGAGATAAGAAAGCAACAAATAGTCAAAAAAGAGGCGCGAAAGTGAAGTCAGGTCAGGTGTGGGAGGAGAGGAAGAGGGTTCATGGAATGAGAAGAAGACACGTAAGCCGAGAGACATCGAAGTCATGATTTCGTGTGTGTGTTGTGTTGTGTTCTGTTTCTGTAGGAGGCAGTCAGCACCACTTGATGACGATGCTCCATTTGTCCTCTCTCTCTCTCTGTAGAGAGAGCTGCTGCTACAAAGACACGTCATAAAGCTCTTATCACAGGCTCACGTGAACACGAAAGCTCAAATTTAAATTTTCCTACCAAAAACAATTCTTGAAAATGATTATTACTGTAGTAGTAGCTTATAGCTTTGGGATATTATTTTCACTTTACTATAGGTAGGTTAATTTAAATAAAAGTAAATCACAAAACTAGTTTGTCAGAGAGAGAAGTCAGACATCAGAGTTCGCACGTGTAGAAACTTTGTTAGATATGGACCAATGCATTTGTTCAATCAAAACGACAGACCCTAAGCCTTGTCACGTGAAAGGAAACACATCTCTTCCATAACCCCTAAAACAAACAAAAACCTCTCACAAAATCCGTCTTCTGCTGCATTTTAGTTATTTTTTCGTTTGGATTTGGAAAAGGAAAAAAAAGAGATAAGTTAAAAGACAAAGAACCTAATCAAACTTCAGTTCATAAACAAAAGAAAAAACTCAATTATTTGTTTTTAAAGTATTGTCCGTTATTGAAAAATTATATGCTACTTCAATTGCTTTAAAGTTTTGACTCCTATGATTACTTCTTCTTTTTTTATCAAAAGACTCCTATGAGTACTAAAATAATTTTTTTAATACAGAATATGGTCTTTAGAAAAAGTGTTTTGATAAAATAATATATCTTGTACAATTAACTATCCAAAGGCTTAAACTACATCACTTTTCAGAGGAAACAAAGAGCCTATATATGTAATCAACTCTATTAGTAGTACTTTAGAGTATAGTAAGTTTGCATAAGATGGGCTAATGAATTTTGGACAAAAAGAAAAACAAAATCAGTCAGAGCTAAAGATAGAGTAGTTGTGTCAAGTTACTTTATTTAATGATCTCCTTGTAGCCTTGTCCTCGTGCATCATAATCACATCATAAATATGGGTTCCAATAAAACCCCAAAAGAGAGCATTTAAATACTTGTCAAATAATAGAGTGCAAAGATTAAAAAATAGATAGAGAGAGGTCTATTATCAGTACTAGGGATTACGTCAGCATCCCAATGCCTCAGGTCCAGTCAAAGAGGCGGCCCATTTTTCTTTCTTCTGCGTAAATATACAAAATTTTATTGTGAGAAAAAGCATCGAGATTGTTACGATCGAAAACAAGAACTTGAATTTGAGTTTATGTTTACCTATGGAAAGTGATTGGTATATTAATTACAGTTACTAATGAACCTTCTTCGATGATAGCACAAATTTCGTGGTATGGCACCATTAAAAAATGGTTGATTAGTAACACCATTTTCTGCATGCATCTAGACAATTTCATCTGTCAAATCTTTTATGCGATCGTTTTGAGAATAGAACTGAAACGGTTTTTTTCCTAACAATTACATCTTTTTTTTTTGTCGTTTGAATTTTATTATTAAACCAAGAACGGATACAAGTTGAAATTACATATGCCGGCGGACAATAGAAATGTCTCCAGAGTCATTAGCCCAAAAGAGGGAAGCAAAGCCCCAAAGTACAGGGAAACTGATTATAACCAAGGTGAAAAGCTAAAGCCGGCGGAACAACGAGATATCCCCAGAGACGAAAACCCAAACAAAGGAAGCATAGCCCTAATCAACAGGGAAGCAACATAGAAAAGACGAGATAACCAACATAAAAAGCTTATAAAGGAAAAGCTAAGACCAATGCACTACACTTGACCCTCTGTTCCAAAGAGAAACCCACAAGCTTTCCTATAGAAACTGTAGACGTCGGATAGCATCATGGAGACCGGTAATGAAATACGTCCGAAGTCTCCAACCGCAACACCAACAGGCAAGAAAGCAAGCTTCACCGATACCAGGAAAATAAGAACCACAACAGCCAAACCACACTAAGGCAGACGAGGAAAAAGAGACCAGCTAGGAACAAAGAAATAATCTTGAGATTCGGCTTGAGACAAGTCAAGGAAGATCAACAGCACTTACACGCGGACACTCGTCGACCCAGTTTAAGCCACCTACAGACAAAAAACTGGTAACCTCCTCGCAAGAGAAGAACAGGAGATCGTTCCACTGCGACGCCTAGAACCCAACTTCAAACCACAAAGTAGCCAAAGGGAGGGCTAGTAGATGACTCCGCAACAAAACACCATCCCAAAGACAAGCACAAACCAAAACCAAGCCAACACCAGAACCACGAAATGCCAAGAGAGCCCAAAAGAGCAGAAGAGCAAAGGTCACAAAGCCAAACCCAAAATCAGCTCACACCACAAACTTCACAAATCAAGCACAAACCCTCGGTTTATGCCACACAAACACCAACACCAACAAAGCCTTATCGAAAACACAATCCAAACAAATGATAGACGAGAGAGAACAAATACCCGACCAATAGACGAAACGTGCCCGTCTCCTAGAATCCACCAGCCACAGGACCACCACCAAAACTGAACCACAACCTCGACAAACCCGCAGACCAAACGGACCCGTCACAGACCAAAACCAATCCTCAACACCGATGGCTTCCCCTCCTTCAATCGTCTATCACCGCATATAGGATTTTGCTGACAAAAACGCAACAACACCGAAAGCAACAGATCTAAACCAAGCAATCCAAAGTAAAACGAAGGAGATGAAGCAAAGAACTCGACATAGGAAGCAACGAAAACTCCGTCACCCACCAACCACCGAATCCCTCATCAACCAAAATCCACCTTTGAAATTACCCTTGAAACAAAAGAAAACGCAAACTAACAACCAAACTAAAAACAAGACAAAGATCTACACCCTCCCACAGCTCCGGCGAGAAGCCCGGCCGCCGGGGAGGTCTAATCGGAGAAATTGAAGGATGGGCGGCGGCTAGGGTATTTGTCGAGAGAGAAAAGGAAAAAAGGGGACCAGAACCTTAGAAAAGTAGTCTATATATTAGAAAAGTATTCATGCTAACGATTACGTCTAACAGAACATTTTTCTTTATGCACAAAACTAAAAAGGGTGAGTTAGCTCAGAGGTAAAAACAGAGATGCAAATTAGCGCAGAGGTAAATGACTGCTTTGTCTCCAAACATTGGAAAAATAGCTTCACTTCTCGCCCTCACATTCGTAATAATAACGAAAAAACCAGTGGTTTACATATCCATGCGAGTGGGATAACATTGTTGTCTTTTTTTGGCAAAAAAGGACGAAGCGACGTCTCTGTTTCGGACGTGATGGTTACACGGCGACAGAAGAAAGGAAGAACATTAATTATTGTGTTTTTATCAAATTGAGAAAATTTTAGCACTCTACAAATATATATTATACGATTTTAATATTTGTAAACATCTAAACACATATATGGATCAATGTATACATGTAAATATATATATATATATATAGAAAACATTATAAATATTTGTATACATGTAAACATGTACATTAAGCATTATTAACATTTGTATACATATAAACACATATATATATATACATATATATAGCGTTATTAATATTTGTATACATGTAAACACATATATAGAGCGTATTAACATTTATGTACTTGCTTCAAACATAATTACAACCATTGTAACCCAAACTATTGCACAGAGCAAGTGTAATAGTGCATCGTAATTAGACACTTAAATATCATAAGTTTCGTCGGATTTTCGATTGATTTTCACCGATTTTCATCGAGTTGTCACCGGATCTATACCGTATTTTGTCGAATTGGCACTGACTCTTACCGGATTCGATCGATTTGTCACTGGATCTTTATCATATTTTGTCAAATTTTTACCGGAACTTATATAGATTCATCATACTGAAATTAAAGTACGGATTGTCTCTATATATCTTTAACCAATTTTTCTTTGTTCGAAAATAATCGAGAAGATAGCTTCGAATTATTTATAGTCTTACAAAATAAATATATGTTAATCGGATATTATGACCAAAGAAACAAATATATAAATAAATCTACATATTTTGTTGGATATCTACAACATATTGATAATGAACATAAAAGAAAAGTCAGAAACTAAGCGAATGAGGTTAAAATCGGAAAAATAGTAGGCTAATGTTACCATTGTTTTGGTCCCGACAAGAATTTACCAAAAACTAATTATGATCCAGATCTTTACTTTCCACCTAATTATCTCAACTAAAAAATGGTAGATAAAAGAACAGTATTAGCATCAAAATCAAAAGAATTAGTCCATTCTCTTTTTGTCATACAATTAGTCCATTCAATTTTTCACTTTATTTTTCATTCATTTCTAAAATCGTCAAAACAAAATATTTTGGTGTCGACCACCCACGTGTAACAATCTCTCAACATACCACAGTCACATCACCCAACAGCAAAAGATCGAACGGTGCTTGATTCTTTGCAAACCCCAGAGAAAACCTCGATTCTAGAAATCAAACACTATTCAGTTTTGTTTTACTATTTAACTCGACATATATATATTACGTATAGGAAACCAAAAAAAGAAAAAAAAAAAAAAAAAAGATAATCGTCAAAGAAGCCGAGGATTACGGGTGTTCTCAAGCGGCCCTACAAACACACCTCCTCTTCCTCTTTAAACTCACTCTCTTTCTCTCTCTTTTGGGTCAAACAAGTCAACAAAGCAAAACCTCTTTCTTCTCTTCTCCTTTCACTCTCTCTAGATTCTCTCGTTTCCTCTGAGATTGTAACAATGGCGTCTACGACGTGTGCAAGAGAGGTGCATTACAGAGGAGTAAGAAAGAGACCATGGGGTCGTTACGCTGCTGAGATAAGAGATCCTTGGAAGAAAACTAGGGTTTGGTTAGGCACTTTCGACACTCCCGAAGAAGCCGCTCTTGCTTACGACGGCGCTGCTCGTTTCCTCCGTGGTATCAAAGCCAAAACTAACTTCCCTTCTCCTCTCTCTCTGGACCTCAACCACCTCCCTTCCCCTCCCTCCGCCGCCGCAAATAACCAACACCAACAGCTCTGGTTCGCCGCGCCTCCTCCTCCTCCTCCTCCTCCAATCTCCGACCACCATCACCAACGGATTTTTCTCCGAACCGGTGTGCTAAACGACAAAACTTCAGATTACTCCTCTACCGAAGCGCCGCTTTACTTCACCTCCTCGCCTAACGCAGCCACGTCGTCGCCTGGTTATCAAGTGGTTGGGTTTCCGATGATGAGTTCGTCTCCATCCCCTGTTACGGTGAGACGTGGGCTAGCCATTGACCTCAACGAGCCTCCGCCGCTTTGGCTGTGAAACAAACGATAAAGATGGATGTAGCGGCGCCGTTTTCCGGACTTTTCTACACGGCGCCGTTTGAGACCACTTTCGGTGGAACTACTTTAACTAGTTTCTTTTTTAGCAAATATCTTTTTGTTAGAGTTAGTAGACTTGTTTTTAAATTTAATCCTTCTTTTGTTCGTTATGTAAGAGTTGGATATCGATTGTTGTTATGAGAGATCCATGTTGCGGAAATAACAAGAAACTTCTTAATTAGCAACAAAAACTTAACAACGTTTGAACATGGATCTAATGATGTTTGTGGATTGTGTTACGACCGTCGCTTATGTCGGTTTCGAGGGGGTTTTGAAATCTTATCGTATTCCATGGCGTGTCGTGAAGTACGGACTGACTTTGTGCAGCTCTTTGCTTTGCTAGCTAGTGTCCTGTTTGACTCACGCGCCTCTCTCTATAAACACGACAAAAGACTGAGAAAAGAAGGAAACAAACAAAAGAGATAGAGACTAGTGAGAGACATAAATACAGAGTAAGCGTGTGAGTTTGGACTGGCTTATTCACTTACGGACAAGATATGTGAATTATGAGTTTGAGTTTCTAAATAGTTTCTTTTATTTATTTTGTAAATTTTTCAACAAAAGTATTCTGATAAGTTTAGAGGAAGTTTAATTATTCTATATAATTTCTCTGCTCATGTTCACCAATCTTATAAAAATGTATGTATATATATATTATTTTTTAGCGGTCCTATATACAGTAGATATAAATCAGATTCACATAATAAAATATCTTTGTTATTAATAGCACACGGCTAAACTTGGAAAAATAGGTTAAAAAAACTCTTACTTTTTCTAAAAATATATAAAAAAATTCAAACTTTTTTTATGGATTTTTAAACCTCACATTTATATAAATGGTAAAATAAATCCTACTATTAATAAACTAATTTTTATAAACAAATCATTATATGAAAACATAAATAAATATAAACAATTTAATTTAGGATTTTTTTTCTAAAATTCAAGTTTACAATATTTTTCTAAATTGAAATTTTGTAAGGCATAGTGTAAAAAGGTTTATTAATAAAGTTTATTTGGTTGTGTTACAAAAAATCATCAACGTGAACCAAACAAAATTTGTTATGAGTGATATATAAATTCTTATGCTAATCTGAATATGTATTCATGTTAATAAAGGTTTATTCGGTCTAATCACACAAATTTACTACCGTGAAACCAAATTAGATTTTATAATACTACGTAAAGTATATGAATTTCCACATTAAAATATTTTAATCTGACCAAATAAACTATATAAATATTTATTAACAGCTAACATTTATATATATATATATATATAAATTATGATATATTAAAATATAATATAAATTATATTTAACTAATTATTATTTAACTATATTTTTATCCTAAATTGAACCTCCAACTGAATATGAATTTTGTTATAATTTTGACTATTTCCTAAATCAAAACTTGAAAAACTCAAACAAACCAAAAAAATCAAATGCGCTATCCTGTAAGTTTTTGTAGTTTATATAACATAACTTTTAATAGTAACAAAATGTGATTTGTTTAATCTCAACTACATGGTGAATGAACTTTTATATCGCAAAAACCTTAATTTTAGAAGAAAAAGAATCGAAAACTCAAATTTGAAAAAAAAAAATCATAAATAAATTAATTTTGTTTGTTACTGTTTTAATATAACAAAAATTAAAGTTGAGTTTACTAGTAATAGGGTTTATTTTACCATTAATGAAAAAGTGAGAGTTTAAAAACCCACAAAGAAATTTGAAATTTTTTTATATGTTTTTAAAAAATGTGAGAGTTTTTCTACCCATTTTTCTTGTGTCTTTTCAAATTTAAATAGCACAAAATTCAGTAATAAATGAATCATGTTTGCTTCAGTTTTTTTTTTTGGTAAGGATCATGTTTGCTTCAGTAGTGCGAATCAATCTAATTTATCTCAAAAATCATAAGAAGTCTATATATCTCATTTTAAAATTAATTAAATATAGGAGATCTCATGTAGCGAAATCAAACTTTTCATGCAAATTGTGATGATTTTATGTTTATGTTTTACATGTGATTTAGAATCGAATTCGTGTAGTTGTATGAGACTATATATAACATTTTGTCACAGAACTGTTACATATGTTAGTCATCTGTAATATTGTAATAAATATATATATATATATATTGTAATAAAATACCAATTTTTATAGTCTTATTGCAAATTGTTTTAGCGTAACCATTTAATAAGCATAAAAAAAAAATTATTTGATAAGCAATTTGTAATCTAACTCATGTAGTTATTTATACCGAGAGAGGAGACAGAAAGAGTTAGCGAGAAATTTTATAATTAAATAAGTATTTATAGACTAACCAAATTTTCGGTCGTACTATAAATAAGTATTTAAACAAATGCTCGCTATGACGAACCTCTGCATGTGTTTCTGCGGTGACATGGAATTAACCAAATTTCCCTTTTGGCTCTTGCGGAGACCCCACGCGCCGTCGCATGACATCGCTTGTGTTGTGAAAAATCATTTTGGGTTACTACTTTACATTATTGTATGGGCTTAAATGTTTAATTATTTGACAAAACTAAAAGGTATATTGTAATTAACAATTTAGTGCTGTTTTACTTGAAAGTGTGGCGGCAGTGGCCGACCATCATTTTTGAGGTTTTTAATCAATGTAATGCCTTTTTTCGTGTATAAAATGGTTCGAGGATATGTCCAAAAAGGAGTCCCAACAAAAACAATCCGCGGTTTTGGAAAATTTGGTTTCTGGTTTATAATTTCTGAGTGTTAACTTTTTGTTTTATGTGAATATATTGTGCGCCTGTTTTAATTTAACCCATGAATTTAGGTCATCCGCCTAATCTCTTCATAAATCATTCATTTAGCTCAAAAAAATTCAATAGGAATTAATATTCAGTTTTATGTATCCCATTTGATTTCTTCATGTCCGAAAACCAACAAATTCGAAATGAATGATTTTTGAGATCTGATATATTACTGATAGGCTAAAAGAATAAAGATTATTCCTGTCAAAATTTTCTATAAGCTAATTGAAATCTCGTTATATAATTGAAAGACCATGGACATTGTTGACTTGCCAGTATTAATCTTTTTTTTTTTATGGGCCAAAAGAATTGATGGGCTGTTTTAGCAATCAAGGTCCAAGATCAGTTTGTGCTAACGTTGATACTTGATACAATTATGCAAAAAAAAAAATTCATTGTCTGAAAATGATATCGAGCAAGTGACCTATACACAATACACATGGACTATTCATCTAACATTTTCCCATTATTCATCCGACTTTCACATGTATGTTCACTTTTCAAATCAATGACAAAAAAAGTTCTGTCCTATAAATTTATCTCTTCTTTATTCACTTTCTTTGTTCACTGATATAGTTTAAGTGACCATGGAAAATTGATACGACCGTACATTTCCAATTTCTTATATAGGAAAGAATGAAAATTATATTTTATATAATAAGTATGGTTTTCAAAATTAATAACTCATATGATCGTGACACGTGACAAATCTATCTATCTTAGATTTTGACACGTGTAAAACAAAAAATTTCATTTTAAAATAAAAACTAAGATAATTGAAAATAATTACAAATTTAAATAATTTAAAAAATATAAAAGATAATTATAAGAATAATTATAAATAATTCATATTTATATAAAAAAAAATTTTAAAAATGTCAAAAGATAATAATAAGGAAATTATACGTTTTTTATATTCCAATTAAACAAGAAAAAAAATCAGGCAAATTTATTAAAAAGGAAACATATGTTATTATATATTAATTTAAAATTTGATATTATTTATCTTAATTTCTTTTCCAATTAGAAATATGTGATGATTCAATTAAACTAATGAGATCAATTTTTTTTCTTTTTTGTAATATTTTTATACTTAACTGTTTTTTTTTTGCCCTCAATTATGATTGTTGTGTAGTTAGATTGTTTATTTCAATTTTTTCATATTTAAATTATCAAAGATTCACATATCATCGTGTTTATAATTTTTTGATTTTTAGTTTAACTGTTGTATCTTTAAATTCTTTATTTTGGTTTCTATGTTCAGTTTAAATTATATAAGATTTACAATATATCATAGTTCTACTGATTTAAGATAGCGACATGTGTCATGATTTAAATTACAAATTTACATTATTTATGTCAATATAATTTTCTAATTAGAAATATGTGATGATTTTAAGTAAATTTTTATATTGTTTTATTTGAAATTTTTGAATATGTAAGAAACATATATGCTTCTTTTTTGTTTTTGATATTTTGAATTTAATTATACTATTTCAGAATTGTTTATTTTAATTTATATATTCATATTTGAATTACATAAGATTCATATATCATCGTGCTTATAATTTTTTAAATTTATCAATTTTTATTGATTGATCATAAAATTATTGCAATCGAGTATATAAGAACTAAACCCGAAACGTTAGCTTTGAAGGCTAATTTAGTCAATTTATCATTTTTATATTTTTAACGTGTCTAATTAAACATCAACTTTATGATGAATATTTTTAATTTTTGTTTTTCATATAAGTATATCATTAATTAGTGTTATGTGATATATCTTTCATTCGAAATAATTTTGATTTAATAATTTTAGTGGTTAAAGAAACAATGCAACAATGAAAAAGTAAATATTGTTTTTACTTTTGAAAAAAAATTTCTACTTACTATGTTAATTAATTTTTTGTTAGATTTGATTTTAATTTTTAAAAAATAAACCCGTCCATCGGACGGATCCTTATCTAGTATGTATATATATATATGACCACATAAGTAGCGATATACAAAATTCATCTTAGTTAAGAAAAAAAAATACAATAGATCTGAATTCTGGTGGATTTAGTTTTAGCTGAAAAACTTTGTGGTCTACAATAGTAAACCCAATAAAGTATAAAACAATTTAGATAGATTTGTTTTTATAATAGCAGGTTTAACATAAATGCCACCTTCCATAACAACAAGAAACAATGCAACAGAAAAATAACTTAGCAATTCTGTGTTTGACCAATAACCGCATTATCCTAATAAAAGTATTTTCTCCATTAATCTTTTTTGTCAAAAAAGTAATTAAGAATTCTACTATGTATTTCCTCAAATCCAATTGGATATGGATAAAAATCATAAGATCAACAACCATATATATATATATATATGTATGTGTGTGTTCATCAGAGAGATCAATGCCAAAACAAGGTATTATTTTAGTTGATCAGAATTATAATTAATGGTTACAAAAAAAATCAGCAGATTGGAACAAAACACGATCTCAACACTAAAAATTCTTTTAAATTCTGCTGATGACAAAAATTGGCACCACTTACATAAACTTAAAATTAAAAGCTTCTACTTTGATGATAAAATAATACTCAATTCAGAAACATTTAATTATATCTAATAATCATAATTAAATATTAGTTCTCAGTTGGAGGAGGAAAATTAAGATCCAAGTCCAAAACCACACGTCGTCCTTCATAGCTAAGATCCATCACCACCGACGACGATTCCGATTCACTCCTTTCATCAACCACCATCATCCCAGCCTTAACCTGAATCTTAGGAAAAGGGAATCTCGAACTAACAGACTCAGATCCGAGGTTGATAGCCGGAATCGATGATTCAACGGTGCTGCTCTGGCTCAGGCTCTGGCTCTGGCTCAAACTCAAGCACTGGTTGATGTTGTAATAAGGGAAATTGGTTTTGGCTTTAGCTCCACGAAACTCAATAGCACGTTTGTCGTAGGCACGAGCCGCTGCTTCAGGAGTGTCGAAAGTACCGAGCCAGACTCGTGACTTCTTGAAAGGATCTCTGATCTCGGCTGCGTAACGTCCCCATGGTCTCTTCCTCACTCCTCTGTAACGGACTCCGTTACCGTCGTTGGTTTTGACTGCCGCCGTTTTAACTGTCGGCGTCATGACAACAACAAAAAACAAAAATTGTTTATGTAAGAAAGAAAAGATGAGGAAGTTTGAGAGTTTGTTAATGTGAAGAAGTTGTGAGGAAAGAGAGAAATATTTATAACAAATGTTAGTCAACCGCGGTTTTGACTTTAAGGGGCGGCCGAGTGGCAGTTTTGGTAATTATATCCATATTACGTGGCATCTGCTTTTTGTCTCCACGAAAGAGGAAAGTGAGAGTGAAGAAGCTTTTTTTTTTTTTTCTTATTATTAAAAGACTTTTTATCTTTTTAGTGGTTTATTTTCTTAAATGTTATTTTTTCTTCTTTTCATATTAAAGTTTTTTTCTTGAATTGTTTATGATTTAATTGATTTTATTTGGATTACTATATATTGCGTGTGGTGAGGAGCCCACGCGCTTACTAGGCACGTGTCGATTTTTATTGTCTGCTACTTCTGCTTGTATTGATCAGCAAATTGTAAACAGACACGATGTGTGACAAATGATTATAGATCTTTTCTTTATGGTTCATTTGTGATATCTGTTTAATTAAAGAAAATGTAATTTAATTTGTTACTAAAAACCGAGATTTAGTATGTTGTTGTCATCTTTATTTTTTAGAGGAAAGGGTAAAAATAGTTACTACTGAATTTATATATATGGGTCTACCGTTTTAATTTTAGCCAGGCTTTGGATGGAAACAATTTATATTTTGAGTTTTTTTGTATATTGATTGTCATATTTTATTTTATTTTGTTTTGGAAAATATAATTCCAGAGTGTTTTTCTTATTTATTCTTGTTTTCTTATTGAAATAATAAAGAAATAAGAAAACAACTTTCAATTGACTTATGGGAACGAAAACTCGTTTGGATTGATAAGAAAATGATTTTTTTTAATTAAATTAATGATTTATGAATTTTTATTTAAAATAATTATTACTATCGATGATTCGTTAATGAAATTTTGAAATTATAAATAATATTTCTGAAAGAAATAAAAAGTATATTATTCATGTAGTTAATAATTCTTTTTTCGATCTAGTTGTTAAAAATAGACAATTTTCATTTTTCAAGTGTATGATTTGATACAAAATTAAATCAATTGCTTATTTTCAAAAAGAAACCTTCCTACTGTAATTATAAATGTCATACTTTTATCAACATATTAATTATTTCAAACAATTTTTATACTAAAATACAAATATAAGTAAAGATATGGAGAGTTGCATACCAAATTTTCTCTAAATATATAAATTAACAAACTTACAACATGTGTTATTTAATTATCAACTGAGAAATAATAATTATTAAATGAAATTATATAATTTTAGTATTAAAAATTTAACATATTACTGACTAGTAAAGAAAAGAAATATACAATTATTTATTTTCCAAATTCTTGATAGTTGCTGAGCTGTCACGAGAGAAAATATTTCAAATATTAATACAATCATATATTTTTACAACATATTTATTAATTGATATGTTAACACTATATATAACACACTAAATATAAATCTAATAATTTAAAATTTTATAACTATATTAATAAGCTCCAAATAAAATAATATTGTTACATATAGTATTCTGTTATATTTAATATTTTAATAAGTTTATTTTCTATATTATAATAAAGTTTTAAGTCTTGATAATCTAATCAAATATTTAGTAACTAGCGCAACTGGTAAGAATCAATTATATGTTTACCGATAAACAACCATGATATTTGTTAATATTTCTTTTCTACTTTTATCAAATTAATTCTAAACTATTAGTATGATAAATTATTTTATTACCGTCTATCTTAGTTGTCATTTATGAATTAACTTATAAATTTCTAATACAAATTTTGAAATAGTGGCGAGTGGTGTTCTGTTTAGGTGGCGGCGGCATACCAAAGGAAAAAGACGGCGTCGTAGTTTGTAGAAATTAGAGATCAAAGGGCTTTAATATATGTAAGATGAAAGAATAATCTCTTATATTTGGTTTGAGTAACATTTGGGAGGAAAACATATAAAATGCTTTGGTTTATGTCCTATGAAAGAATCTATTATCATTCTAGATGGTATGAAAGAATTGAGTGAGATCCTACTTGAATAATAAATATACACAAACAAATCATAATATACTATATTTTAACAAGTTATATGTAAATAATTCGTGTATCAAACTGTTTAGTTCTGTTTTTCCATACTTTAGTAAACGAAGTTGAGATTAAAGATTTTTTTTAATATATTAAATGGTGAATTAAAACTTTTCATTTGGTATGCTATAACTTTTAGCTATTAGGGTTTAGAGTTTTAGCTATTTGGATGAAAAGTGTTTTAATACCATGCATGTAGAATAAAAGAATCTCTTATCATTTTAGATGGTATGACTAAATTGAGAGAAATCTTACTTCAGTAAATCTATAATATAAAAAGTATAGATATACACAAACAAATTACAATATATTCTAAAAAATTATATTTAAATAATTTTGTGTTCCAAACCGTTTAATTCTGTCTTTTAATAGTTTAGTAAACGAAGTTAAAGTTGCTTTTAGCTATGAGTTTCATATATTCAAAGGAAATTTTAATATACTAAGTGGGCTTGCAAAAAAATAGAGAAATATATAGTAACATTCAATCTTTTGCTTAACTCATTTGTTTTTTGTAGATTGAACGTCTGTGTAGAAAGTAAAAATAATAATATGTTTACATACTTTTATAACAAGAAACCACAACAATATATATATATTCAGAATCGTTTATCTTTTAAAAATATTCACCCAAATTTAAATATGTGTTTATATAGATGATTAAAAAAACAACACTCTTAAGATTTTTATAAAAAAAAAAAAAAAAAAACAAACGAAAAATTTAACTCTTTTCTTCCAAAAATAAAATAAAATAAAATCGTACCCTATATTGCAAATAGTCAAACTGGTCTCACATGCGGCTGCCCGCGGATGGCTTGACGAAGTACACATGCAGCTTTTACGCTCGATAATTGGTATAACAATGAAACCATATCTTAAAACCAAATCTATTTTTTAAAAAACAAAGAATGGGTTACTTGCTTATATATCTGTTACTTAAAAACAGACACATTTTGACAGGAGCAACATAAACAATGGACAAATTGTATAGACCATAAAACAGAAATATCGGGTTGAAACCAAAGACAGATGGCTGCAAAATTGTCGGAGAACAACCACTGATGAGAATCATATTTTACATAGTTTTTTTTTTTTGGTAGGATCATATTTTACATAGTTAATCGTAGTATATAATACTATAATACTAATACTTAATACTAATGTTTAAATATGAAAAATGGGATAATGTTACCGGTTTCCAGGATTGGCCACAGTTCAGATGCAATGCATTTGCTCCACCTTGATGTCAAAGTTTGATAGATTCTTCTCCTCACACTTTCACATTATTTAATTGCATTTTGGACTTTGAGGTGAATGGTCCATAACTACTTTGGTCTTCATAGAGTAGTATTGTCTCTTAATTAATGAGTATTAAGAATTTAAATCGAAAATCGTTCTGACTACCGGCAACTAATTTATGCAATGGTTTTCACCAAAAAAATCATCAAATATAATTGAATAGTAAACAAATAGCAAGTAACAGAGGATAAAAACTGCAAAATATAAATGGTTATAAAACAAACAATATTTCTAATAATTCTTATATTTTGAAACAAAGAAACTACAAATTTGTTTACATCAGAGTAAAAACGTTGAAATTAAACCCTATATTTTAGAACTTCTCTTTTGAAATCAAGTAACTTTAGACATTTTACTAAGTGGGTGGTGGTCTAGTGATTGTGAATTCTCAAGATCCCTAGTTCAACCCCACTTGGAAGAGATGATTGATGCCTTAAACGTGGTATTATCAACGGCTGGTCTCGGGTAACAGAGAAGACTATGGGTCAAAGAATTAATACAATTTATATCATAAAAAGCTTCATACATTTTCTTTAATCAAAATTTACAATATGATATTATAGAACAAATAAATTATGAGTTTATATAAGATTTTAATATATAGCTAAGAAATCCTATATTTTCTTTCTTGTTAAAGAGTTTGTAACTAAATAAGAAACAAAACAAAAAGAAATAATCCATCCATCGTCGATCGGATTCATTTCTTTTGGACAACTTACTATTCCGAATTAGATATGTAAGAGCATCTCCAATGGTAGACATCCATAGAGTGTCTCACCAATATAATATTAATATTTTTATGTTTAATTTATTTAGAGAAACTCACACTAAAATTCTACTTCCATTGGTGAGATATCTCTATGGGTGTCTCATCAATATAATATTTATATTTTTATATTAAATTTAATTTTTCAATAATATTTTTAAACATATCAAATTATATCTTAAATATAGTCATTCAAACAAAATAATTATATTTTTATAGAAGTAAATAATATAATGATTATTAATAATTTTAAAAACATTAATTAATAGTACTATTAATTATAAATAATATATTAAAGAGATTATTATTTTTAAAACCACAATTAAACATAAATTGAATTTTAAACAACATATAAAACCATAATAAAGATATATAAATTAAACACAAAATTGCATATAAAACCATGATAACATAAATTAAAATGCAAATAAAAACATACAAAACCAAAATAGATAATATATATTTTACTCTTCACTTGATGATGCGCCAAACTTTTGCCATATAGATTTTAATTATATATATTGGACATTTTGTAAATAATGACAAAAGATAACACATTATTTATCAAAATATCAAAATATTGACAAAAAATCAGATTATTCATCTCAGATTTATTTTCTAATATTATAGTATTTTATTAACTAAAAATATTAATTTAAACTTAACTAATATTAATAAATATATAAACTTTTGTATAATGGAACTTGATATATAGATAATTTTATTTTATGAATTGTAGAAAAATAAAAAATAAAAAAGAGTCACTTATAAACTATTTAATTGATATTATAAATCTTAGAGTAATTGAATTTAAAAAAAATTGTTAAACCAATATAAGAATGACATGTGTATGAGAGAGAGAATGTCTCAAAATATCTCAAATGAGAAACTTGTCTCAAAGTATCTCAGTTTTTTTGATTAAAAAA